ACACCTAAACAGCAATATTATTGATGTTCCCGAGTATTACAACTACGGTAGTAGATTAGGTCAAATTCATCATTCCCGATTAAGAATGCAGTGTACCTCTCTTAAGTCTCACTTACATAAAAGGAACTTGGTTAATAGTCCGGTATGCGATTGTAAAGAAGCAAACGAAACAACTGAACATTTTCTGTTATCATGTCCTAATTTTGTTAATCTATGTGTCCGTCATCTTGGAAATCCACCTGACATTGAACCACTACAGACTCTTCTCTTTGGTGACCCCTCACTATCTGTTGTTGAAAATAAAGCAATCTTTCAAAGGGTCCAGTCATTTGTCCTTCAAACTAAGCGTTTTTAAAATCGTTAACAGAGAGTCTGTGCATATGCTTGTTTATATTCGATATGCTTTTGTAATTATCCAATGTGTTCAATTACTATAGATATTAACATTATACGCAAACGCGTACCAAGGTCACTGTTTAATCATGCCGCCAACAGTCCTTTTGTTCTTCTCTAATCTCATTTCTCTCTGTACCCTTCATTTTCAAAGCCAGACTAGATCTTGCTGCCAGCTGGTTGATTTTTTAGGAAACAGTTTACATAAGTTTTTACAAAACTTTTTACTGGATCCTTTTGCATATTAAGCTTTGTACCATGATTGTATTTTGCAAATAAAATAAAGTTTAAACTAAGGTTTCAGGCTGTAGAGCTCACAACGCTGTTTTACTTTTACATTAACAAGGTTTCAGGCTGTAGAGCTCACAACGCTGTTTTACATTTATATTTACAAGGTTTCAGGCTGTAGAGCTCACAACGCTGTTTTACATTTATATTTACAAGGTTTCAGGCTGTAGAGCTCACAACGCTGTTTTACATTTATATTTACAAGGTTTTAGGCTGTAGAGCTCACAACGCTGTTTTACATTTATATTTACAAGGTTTTAGGCTGTAGAGCTCACAACGATGTCTTACATTTATATTTACAAGGTTTTAGGCTGTAGAGCTCACAACGCTGTTTTACATTTATATTTACAAGGTTTTAGGCTGTAGAGCTCACAACGATGTTTTACATTTATATTTACAAGGTTTTAGGCTGTAGAGCTCACAACGATGTCTTACATTTATATTTACAAGGTTTTAGGCTGTAGAGCTCACAACGCTGTTTTACATTTATATTTACAAGGTTTCAGGCTGTAGAGCTCACAACGCTGTTTTACATTTATATTTACAAGGTTTTAGGCTGTAGAGCTCACAACGATGTCTTACATTTATATTTACAAGGTTTTAGGCTGTAGAGCTCACAACGCTGTTTTACATTTATATTTACAAGGTTTTAGGCTGTAGAGCTCACAACGATGTTTTACATTTATATTTACAAGGTTTTAGGCTGTAGAGCTTACAACGATGTTTTACATTTATATGTACAAGGTATTTAAGTTCATCTCTTTATCTCAAACTACGTTTGTATAAGTAATGTGTGAAGTCTTATTATTATCGGGTTTTTATTGCGAATGTGTTGATAATTGAGTTTACAAAGTTCAAACGTCTTCTAGTAGAATCAAACTTTGATAGTCGTCATGTGCCGATGTTTGTTTTGAAGTTGAATTTTATTGGAATTTTGCTGATATTCTGTGTTTGTACAATATATTCTTTTGGGTGTGTGAACGCATTTAGCAAACTATAGAATGAGTTGGTAAAATCATATAGAACAAGAAACAGAAATTATCATAACTCATGATCACAAAAAATGTTTATTATCATTCTGTCATGGAATGTGTAATTATAAAAAAAACATACATCAACAAGTATATATATAAATAGTTACAACAGCAGGCGGTCCAACATTCGCCATGATGGCGCCGTATATATAGAACTGTGTAAAAGACAACTCTCGACATGACTAGATTTTGTACGAGCTTTACATATATGTGGTAAATTGAGATCAATCTTAAAATAATGTAAATACAATGTTTAAATGATAAACAAATAATAAACATCTATGATGAGAACTTTTAACTCAAGTAGGATTCATTCTCTTATAGTAATTCTGACAAAGACGGAAATATACTACATCTGTCAGAGTAATTGACAATCAATGCATGGTAACAATGTATCTATATACTATAAAGTTACAGAGTATCTATGCTACTGTTAATACTATGTCTACATTGTATTACTATTATCATACATTGAAAGACTACCATGCATCTATACAAATGCACATTGTCTAAAATGTAACTGTACTAGTACATATTGTATATCTACATTGTAACTGTATTACTGTACATTGTATGTCTACATTGTAACAGTATTATTTTATGTTGTATGTCTGTATTGCTACTGTATTACTGTACACTGTATGTCTACATTGTTACTGTATTACTGTACATTGTTTGTCTACATTGTTACTGTATTACTGTACATGGTATGTCTACATTGTTACTGTATTACTGTACATTGTATGTCTGTATTGCTACTGTATTACTGTACATTGTATGTCTACATTGTAACTGTATTACTGTACATTGTATGTCTGTATTGCTACTGTATTACTGTACATTGTATGTCTATATTGTTACTGTATTACTGTACATTGTATGTCTATATTGTTACTGTATTACTGTACATTGTATGTCTGTATTGCTACTGTATTAGTACACATTATATGTCTACATTATTACTGTATTACTGTACATTGTATGTCTGTATTGCTACTGTATTACTGTACATTATATGTCTATATTGTTACTGTATTACTGTACATTATATGTCTGTATTGTTACTGTATTAGTACACATTGCATGTCTACAACATTGTTACTGTATTACTGTACATTGTATGTCTGTATTGCTACTGTATTAGTACACATTGTATGTGTACATTGTAACTGTATTAATGTACATTGTATGTGTACATCGTAACTGTATTAGTACACTTTGTATGTCTACTTTGTAACAGCATTACTGTACATTGTATGTCTACATTGTAACTGTATAACTGTACATTGTATGTGTACATCGTAACTGTATTAGTACACTTTGTATGTGTACATTGTAACTGTATTACTGTACATTGTATGTCTACATTGTAACTGTATTACTGTACATTGTATGTGTACATCGTAACTGTATTAGTACACTTTGTATGTCTACATTGTAACTGCATTACTGTACATTGTATGTGTACATCGTAACTGTATTAGTACACATTGTATGTCTACATTATAACTTTACTACTCTACATTGTATGTCTCACTGTAATCTGGACGTGTATATTTTTTCTGCATAATTGTAATTGAATGTCTACATTGTGTCTATTTCATGTACATTGTAAGTCCCCATCTATCTACATTACCGTACTGTTTCTATATGCTAGTTTAAATACAAACGAAATAAATAATTAATGTCATCGTTTCACATTGTAGAAGCAGCTGATTTGATTTTCACACAACAAACAATAAATAGCCTGGGAAATATATTACACTATCTGTATAGAATCACGTCATACAAGTGATTCGTACGTCACAGAGTCCTGTCACCATGTTAAACATATTAACCATCATGTGTCTTAGTCAATCACGGCGGGTTGACACACGTCCATCATACCCTGGCGCAGTAAAATGCGTATTGGCATTCGGACACTGTATACAGATTGTTGACCATCAGATTAGATAAATAGTGTGACATCCGGACACTATATAGAGTGTGGACCATCATATTAGATAAATAGTGTGACATCCGGACACTATATACAGAGTGTTGACCATCAGATTAGATAAATAGTGTGACATCCGGACACTATATAGAGTGTTGACCATCAGATTAGATAAATAGTGTGACATCCGGACACTATATAGAGTGTTGACCATCAGATTAGATAAATAGTGTGACATCCGGACACTATATACAGAGTGTTGACCATCAGATTAGATAAATAGTGTGACATCCGGACACTATATAGAGTGTTGACCATCATATTAGATAAATAGTGTGACATCCGGACACTATATAGAGTGTTGACCATCAGATTAGATAAATAGTGTGACATCCGGACACTATATAGAGTGTTGACCATCAGATTAGATAAATAGTGTGACATCGTGTATTGACATCCAGATATCATACATCGAATGTATCCGATTAGGTATTGACATCAGGACAATGTACATGGTGCATTAACATGCACCGCATAATGTCTATAGACAAACGGATAACGTAAATGATTACATCCGGACATCATACATCATGTATTGACACACGTACATCATACATTATGTATTGACACCCGGACATCATACATCATGTATTGACACCCGGGTATTGACACCCGGACATCATACATCAAGTATTGACACCCGGACATCATACATCATGTATTGACACACGGACATCATACATCATGTATTGACACCCGGACATCATACATCATGTATTGACACGCGGACATCATACATCACGTATTGACACCCGGACATCATACATCATGTATTGACACCCGGACATCATACATCACGTATTGACACCCGGACATCATACATCATGTATTGACACCCGGACATCATACATCCATAAACCATACATCGGGAATGTGAATGTGAACGGGTACTGATCTTGTACAAACAAGTGATAGTTCCTTATCCTATACAACGGACTGTGTTTACGAAGAAAATAAAAAACAGTGAAAGAACGTGTTTTATTTTGGGTCACTTTCCACACCGCAGAAGCATGACTTTCGCTCGTGAAAATCTCGTGAATGTTGATGGTGGTCACTCACTCATGGACGCTGAACCCCAAGGGTCTATGCCTCACCATCTGTCAGCGTATAGATACAGTTCTCAACTCACTTCATCACATCATTTAACTTTCATGGTGATTCGCCTCAATCAGGTCACGTGATGCTCTGTCATACCAGATATCGTTGTGGTGTAAATGCTCTGTATCGTTGAAATTTTAATCACAATAGTATTTTAGCGGTCATTTAAACAAACCATCATCTTTACTGTCCTAAATCAGGCGATGGCTTGTTTCCAGATGGCGCCTCATGTCAACCTTTCGCTGAAAGCTCCGCCCACACCGTTCGCACGTGAAGGGTTTAAAGCCCGTATGTTTACGCGTGTGAGTGATAAGGTTAGATGACTGACTGAAAGCCTTTCCACAAACAGAGCATTTATGGGGTTTTTCACCTGTAAAACAATGAAAAGAAAATTTTATTGTAGCGCATAGCAGAGACAAGTCGATAAAAGACGGGGATACTATTGATATGTCAACATCTACACCAAAAAAATGATATGTTCAAAACTGCTATTCATCGGCGTGTGTTCTGTCAACCCTATACAATGTATTTTAAAAAATATACATATATCTTGATAAGATGGTAAATGTGGTACAATAATGTAACAACTCGACAGAAAAAAATCTTTCTCCTTAAAATGACGAAGACCCAGACAAAAAGACGAGGATTCAAATTGATTTTTGTTGCCGGTGACTTCCTATTGCGTTTTTATTCGTTTATTTATTTTAAAATCAGGTTTTCACTCTTGAATCCAATCTGCGATAAAAAAAAAAATGTTTGTGACATTCCGTGCCTTACCTGTGTGGATATACGTGTGTTTCTTCATGTCCGACTTCTGGTGGAACCGTTTGCCGCAGTATTGACAAGGATAAGGGCGGGTATCACTGTGGATTAGCATGTGTGTGTTGAGGGTGGACGAACGCTTGAAGCCCTTACCGCACTCCTTACAACGGAAGGTTCTGTGGGGTGCAAACTCCTCCTCGCCGTTACCGAAAAACTGAGAATCTCGAAAGTTCATCGAGTGTGCCACATGGTCGCCATCATCTCGGAACCCTTTGAATGAATCTGTGGAATCTGTCGGGGAGGGCAATCCGAACGGACCACAACAAAATTTGGTCCTCAGACAGTCACACTTGCCTTCAGATACGAGAGTACACTCCCGATTACCCAGTGTTTTTACTTCCGTGTCTTTAAAAAGACTATTGAATAGGCTTTCGTCATTGGCTCCCCGACTGATCACATGATCGGAAGTGATGTCCATCCAGCGTAGATACTGTTGGAACAGCTCCTTGATTCTCTGTTGATGAACTGTGATGTGTAAATCTGAAATGAGAAAAGGGGGTTTTTACCAGTAGATTGTAACGCTATATAACGTACCTGGTAGATTGTGACACTAGATAATGTACATGGTAGATTGTGACACAGGATAATGTACATGATAGATTGTGACAAAGGATAATGTACATAATAGATTGTGACACGAGATAATGTACATGTTAGGTTGTGACACGAGATAATGTACATGGTAGATTGTGACAGGAGATAATGTATATGGTAGATTGTGACACTAGATAATATACATGGTAGATTGTGACACGGGATAATGTAAATGATAGATTGTGACACGGGATAATGTATATGGTAGATTGTGACACAGGATAATGTACATGATAGATTGTGAAACGAGTTAATGTACATGATAGATTGTGACACTAGATAAAGTATATGGTAGATTGTGACACTAGATAATCTTTATGGTAGATTGCGACACGAGATAATGTAGTTGATAGATTGTGACAATAGATAATGTACATGGTAGATTGTAACACGAAATAATGTACATGGTAGATTGTGACACGATATAATGTACATGATAGATTGTGACACTAGATAATATACATGGTAGATTGTGACACGGGATAATGTATATGGTAGATTGTGACACAGGATAATGTACATGATAGATTGTGAAACGAGTTAATGTACATGATAGATTGTGACACTAGATAAAGTATATGGTAGATTGTGACACTAGATAATCTTTATGGTAGATTGCGACACGAGATAATGTACATGGTAGATTGTGACAAGAGATAATGTACATGGTAGATTGTGACACGAGATAATGTACATGGTAGATTGTGACACTAGATAATGTTCATGATAAATTGTTATACTAGATAATGTACATGGTAGATTGTTATACTAGATAATGTACATGGTAGATTGTGACACTAGATAATGTACATGGTAGATTGTGACACGAGATAATGTAGATGGAAGATTTGTGACACTAGGTAATGTACATGATAGATTGGGACACTATATAGTGTACATGGTAGATTGTGACACTAGATAATGTAGATGATAGATTGTGACAATAGATAATGTACATGGTAGATTGTGACACGAGATAATGTACAAGGTAGATTGTGACACGAGGTAATATACATGGTAGATTGTGACACTAGATAATGTATATGATAGATTTGCGACATTAGGAAATGTACAAGGTATTTTGTGACACTAGATAATGTACATGGTAGATCGTGACACTAGATAATGTACATGGTAGATTGTGACAAGGGATAATGTATATGGTAGATTGTTATACTAGATAATGTACATGGTAGATTGTCACACTAGATAATGTAGTTGATAGATTCTGACAATAGATAATGTACATGGTAGATTGTGACACTAGATAATGTACATGGTAGATTGTGACAAGGGATAATGTATATGGTAGATTGTTATACTAGATAATGTACATGGTAGATTGTGACACTAGATAATGTACATGGTAGATTGTGACACGGGATAATGTATGTTAGATTGTGACACTAGATAATATAGATGATAGATTGTGACACTAGATAATGTACATGATATATTGTGACTTGTGACACCAGATAATGTACATGGTATATTTTGACAGGAGATAATGTACATGGTAGATTGTGACACGAGATAATGTAGATGGTAGATTGTGACATTAGATAATGTACATGGAAGGTTTGTGTCACTAGGTAATGTACATTGTAGATTGTGACACAGGATAATGTACATGATAGATTGTGACACAGGATAATGTACATAATAGATTGTGACACGAGATAATGTACATGTTAGGTTGTGACACGAGATAATGTACATGGTAGATTGTGACAGGAGATAATGTACATGGTAGATTGTGACACTAGATAATATACATGGTAGATTGTGACACGGGATAATGTAAATGATAGATTGTGACACGGGATAATGTATATGGTAGATTGTGACACAGGATAATGTACATGATAGATTGTGAAACGAGTTAATGTACATGATAGATTGTGACACTAGATAAAGTATATGGTAGATTGTGACACTAGATAATCTTTATGGTAGATTGCGACACGAGATAATGTACATGGTAGATTGTGACAAGAGATAATGTACATGGTAGATTGTGACACGAGATAATGTACATGGTAGATTGTGACACTAGATAATGTACAGGGTAGATTGTGACACTAGATAATGTAGTTGATAGATTGTGACAATAGATAATGTACATGGTAGATTGTAACACGAAATAATGTACATGGTAGATTGTGACACGATATAATGTACATGATAGATTGTGACACTAGATAATGTGCATGGTATATTGTGACACTAGATAATGTAGATGATAGATTGTGACAATAGATAATGTACATGGAAGATTGTGACAAGAGATAATGTACATGGTAGATTGTGACACGAGATAATGGACATGGTAGATTGTGACACTAGATAATGTACATGGTAGATTGTGACACTAGATAATGTACATGTTAGAATGTGACACTAGATAATGTACATGGTATATTGTTACAGGAGATAATGTACATGGTAGATTGTGACACGAGATAATGTAGATGGTAGATTGTGACATTAGATAATGTACATGGAAGATTTGTGACACTAGGTAATGTACATTGTAGATTGTGACACTAGATAATGTACATGGTAGATTGTGACACTAGATAATGTTCATGATAGATTGTTATACTAGATAATGTACATGGTAGATTGTTATACTAGATAATGTACATGGTAGATTGTGACACTAGATAATGTACATGGTAGATTGTGACACGAGATAATGTAGATGGAAGATTTGTGACACTAGGTAATGTACATTGTAGATTGGGACACTATATAGTGTACATGGTAGATTGTGACACTAGATAATGTACATGGTAGATTGTGACAAGGGATAATGTATATGGTAGATTGTTATACTAGATAATGTACATGGTAGATTGTGACACTAGATAATGTACATGGTAGATTGTGACACGGGATAATGTATGTTAGATTGTGACACTAGATAATATAGATGATAGATTGTGACACTAGATAATGTACATGATATATTGTGACTTGTGACACCAGATAATGTACATGGTATATTTTGACACGAGATAATGTACATGTTAGGTTGTGACACGAGATAATGTACATGGTAGATTGTGACACGAGATAATGTAGATGGTAGATTGTGACATTAGATAATGTACATGGAAGGTTTGTGTCACTAGGTAATGTACATTGTAGATTGTGACACAGGATAATGTACATGATAGATTGTGACACAGGATAATGTACATAATAGATTGTGACACGAGATAATGTACATGTTAGGTTGTGACACGAGATAATGTACATGGTAGATTGTGACAGGAGATAATGTACATGGTAGATTGTGACACTAGATAATATACATGGTAGATTGTGACACGGGATAATGTAAATGATAGATTGTGACACGGGATAATGTATATGGTAGATTGTGACACAGGATAATGTACATGATAGATTGTGAAACGAGTTAATGTACATGATAGATTGTGACACTAGATAAAGTATATGGTAGATTGTGACACTAGATAATCTTTATGGTAGATTGCGACACGAGATAATGTACATGGTAGATTGTGACAAGAGATAATGTACATGGTAGATTGTGACACGAGATAATGTACATGGTAGATTGTGACACTAGATAATGTACAGGGTAGATTGTGACACTAGATAATGTAGTTGATAGATTGTGACAATAGATAATGTACATGGTAGATTGTAACACGAAATAATGTACATGGTAGATTGTGACACGATATAATGTACATGATAGATTGTGACACTAGATAATGTGCATGGTATATTGTGACACTAGATAATGTAGATGATAGATTGTGACAATAGATAATGTACATGGAAGATTGTGACAAGAGATAATGTACATGGTAGATTGTGACACGAGATAATGGACATGGTAGATTGTGACACTAGATAATGTACATGGTAGATTGTGACACTAGATAATGTACATGTTAGAATGTGACACTAGATAATGTACATGGTATATTGTTACAGGAGATAATGTACATGGTAGATTGTGACACGAGATAATGTAGATGGTAGATTGTGACATTAGATAATGTACATGGAAGATTTGTGACACTAGGTAATGTACATGGTAGATTGTGACACTAGATAATGTTCATGATAGATTGTTATACTAGATAATGTACATGGTAGATTGTTATACTAGATAATGTACATGGTAGATTGTGACACTAGATAATGTACATGGTAGATTGTGACACGAGATAATGTAGATGGAAGATTTGTGACACTAGGTAATGTACATGATAGATTGGGACACTATATAGTGTACATGGTAGATTGTGACACTAGATAATGTACATGGTAGATTGTGACAAGGGATAATGTATATGGTAGATTGTTATACTAGATAATGTACATGGTAGATTGTGACACTAGATAATGTACATGGTAGATTGTGACACGAGATAATGTAGATGGTAGATTGTGACATTAGATAATGTACATGATAGATTGGACACTATATAGTGTACATGGTGATTGTGACACTAGATAATGTAGATGATAGATTGTGACAATAGATAATGTACATGGTAGATTGTGACACGAGATAATGTACAAGGTAGATTGTGACACGAGGTAATATACATGGTAGATTGTGACACTAGATAATGTATATGATAGATTTTCGACAGTAGTAAAAGAACATGGTATTTTGTGACACGAGATAATGTACATGGTAGATCGTTACACTAGATAATGTACATGGTAGATTGTGACAAGGGATAATGATATATGGTAGATTGTTACACTAGATAATGTACATGGTAGATTGTCACACTAGATAATGTAGTTGATAGATTCTGACAATAGATAATGTACATGGTAGATTGTGACACTAGATAATGTACATGGTAGATTGTGACAAGGGATAATGT